CACAGCGTTGCTGAAGCCGTCAATGTTGTGAATTCTTCAGGGAGATCTGTGGTGGATAGAAAATATGGTCCTATTGGGATTCGATCCCGAGACTCCAAGGTGAAAGTCAGGCACGCTATCCAGTCACCCAAACGGAGATCTCCCTTGCCCAAGTAGGCAGGGCGCATGATCAATCAAGTCACAGTGACAGGACACACACACTGTCCCAGAGGCATGACATTCTGTCTCAATCTGTCTCCCTGCTGATATTTTACATTCTGCATTCTGCGCTTCAGGCTGTGTGTGTGTGCGTATGCGTGTGTGTGTGTGTGTGTGTGTGTGTGTGTGTGTGTGTGTGTGTGCCATCGACATATAAATATTGGACAATGGGTTTCCAAAGACTCCAATAACACATTTTTGTGCCAAAATGGGAGGTGGCCACCACCTCCATTTTGATCGTGTCACAGGCTCCGTCAAGCCCAGACAATTCCACAAAAGGGAAGAGAGGAGGAGCTGAGGGTGTAACTGTAAGGCTGGGATCAACTGACGACACCCGGTCAAGCTAACCTGAAGCTAACCCAAAGCTAACGCGGAGGTGGGAGCTAAGCTAACGGAGGTAGCAACCTAGCTAAAACCGGAGTTAACTGTGCACAACACCAGAGCTTCTGAGTCAGAGATACGCCGGGCTGACCGCTGGGTAAAACCGGGTGGAACACAGAGGTCTCCCGAGAGCTCCACAAGCCGGCAGCCGCACAGCAGACAAGCGCCGCTGCAATCTGAGATGCGCAGAGCTGCCGCTGGGTAAAACCGGGTGGAACACAGGGGTCTCCCGAAAGCTGCTGAAAGCCGGCAGCCGCACAGCAGACAGAAGCCGCGATCAGACAGAGATGTGCCGAGCTGCGGGGAGGGGAGAAATGGGTGGAAAACATCGGTCTCCCGAGAGCTCCACAAGCCCATAGTCAGAACCCAGCTCCACCAACATGTTATATTTCAACCCATTTTCTAAAGTGCAGCATTATGTTAAATGCACTGGGTTTTACCCTATTACATTTACATTTCATGGGTAAACAGTACATGTTAAAATCTAAGCTCAGCTCGGCAGTGACCTAAAATACATAAATATAATTTTACTTACCGAAAAAAATGAAGTGGAGACTCCTTGAACGCTCTATTAGTGCAATTAATGCCACAGCAAGTCATTTTGTCCAACAGTTGCACAAATAATATCCAAAAAGAACGCACAAACGCTACAATTAATGGTCTAAGTTGAGAGACTGAAAATGACCGAACAGTTTTCAGGCGAAGCCGAGGCTCTACTGAGGCCTTTCCATGGAGCTAGCTCTGTGGTCACGTGGGTCTGATGCTCATTAATTATACAGAATTTTAGGCTTTTAATACACTTAAACAGAAGAGTGAGAAAAAAATTCACCCCCCTCAGAGTTGTCATGAGTGTAAACTAGATCATTTAAACAAAAAACATGTTTTGGTACCAGGCTGTAAACATTTTTATTTCTGCTGTGAAATTGGTATTTTTAACATGGGAGTCAATGAGGATTTGCTCGCTTCTGACACCAGCCCCCAGTGGATGAGGGTGGAACTGCAATTTGTGGTATTTCCGGGTTGGCCTCAATTTTTGTGCCACATTGTGGGGGCTTGGTGTGTACGCGCAAAGTGTGTGTGCATGTGGGGGGTCTTGTTCTGTGTGAAAACGAAGCAGTACAAGTGGTAATTGAAACGCAAATACTGGTCTGTGTGAGATGGTTTCCTGTAGACTTCAATGCTGAGACTTCCATCCTGTTCAATTTGCGCAGCACAGTCCAAGAAGTTCAGTTGGTTGTTGTGTGCAATCTTCTCTGGTGAACTTGATGTTCTCGTCCACGGCATTAATGTGCATGGTAAAGTCTTCTACTTCCTTGGTGAGAGTTTTGAACCATGTGGCGTCCACATACCTGAACCAGGAGCTTGGTATTGTTCCATTGTAGGAGTTCAATGCTCTGGTTTCTGGTCAGTGGCGGCTCTAGAAATGTTTTTCTGCAGGTGCTATGAAGGAGCTAGTCTTTTTATTGAGGGTGCTATGAAGGAAGTGGCCATGCGTACCTATTGTTCTCTAAAACACCTTCAAAACTAGCAGATACACATGCGTGCACAACACCTCAACAACACCTGAAACAATCATTAATATACATCATAAACATGTGAACAATCGCTGACTTTTCCATGAAATCATAAACACATACAGCCACACAGAAAACCATCTATAGTGTTGCAAGGTTAGCTAACGTTAGCATTAGCATTTCCAACAGCAAAACCCTCGACTGCTGCAGCGGTTGAGGGTTGACTCTCTTCATCCAGATCCATAGGTTTTTGTGGGTCTGAGATCACTTCCAAACATTCATTCGTTTCTGACTGAACCCGTGGAAATGGGCAACAAAAAACGATCCATTTTACCGCTAGCTCTACCTTTCACTCGTTCACAGGTGGAAAATGAGGTCAAAGGTTAACATCAATGTCCTGTTTTGGTTTAAGTTTTTACTATCTATATGATAATTTACTGATTATTTTTGTTTTGTATGTTAAATATTATCACATCCACACGTTAAATTAAATTGGGGGTGCTATGGGGCTGCAATGAGTAATTCAGGGGTGGCTATAGCGCCCCCTAGCGCCCCCCGGCATGCCACTGTTTCTGGTTTGAACGTTTACCGATTTGTCTTTCGTAGCAAGAAGCTGTTTGCTGATGTCTCGGTTTCTCCAGATAGCAGTCGTTAGAAATGGACAAGAGTAGCTACTTGTTACTCCATATTTCATCTTCAGCTGTCATAAAACCAATATTCGATGGAGCTAACACAGAACCCCTCTCATTGTTTGATCAGGAAAATCCATTTTCTTTTGAAAAAAGACGCATATGACTTTTGTGTTTTTAAATCTGAAATTCAAGTTTTCAAAAAGCGACAAATAAAATGAGGGTATTTTCTGCTAAACTTCAGGCAAATAAAGCACCAAAAACTATTTTAAATTCCCAGAGTGCTCTCGTGTGCTAGGTTGAGTGTGTCCCTCTGAGCGGAGAGGTACATTAAATCCTTCATCACAGGAAACTAAACATCTTGAACTGTTTTCCTGGTTGAATAATTCCGGAAGGAATTAAAATATTGCAAACAGAAGATTGAATTAAAATGAGAAAAGAAACCCAGTGTCCTTATTGATGAAAGTTTTGTTGTTCTTTGCTTTTTTTGACTTTTGGTCTCCTTCACCCTCTCTCTCTGCCTCCGACTCAGTTTAGTTTATCCTCTCATAATGTGCGTGTTGTGTTTTTGCATAAATGCCAAAAGTCTCAGAAGCTGGGAAGAAGGTTTCTCTGCAAACAGGAAACAAAGCTGACTAAAACCTTTAAGATTTTTTCCTTCTTGAGCTGTTTTCTGGCAGATGGAATCATTTATAAAATCTGTGTCTTAAAGTGTCCCTGTGATTTCCTAGAGAGGTACTTTAGATTAAAGCATCACAAAGGCAGCTCTGGTGGTGGAGGTCAAGCAGCGTAGTCGTCAGAGAAAATCAGAAACACATGAAGGGATAACAGAAGCTGCGTTCTCTTCTTTCATCATGAGATGTTTTTTGTTTGTTGAGTGAAGCAGCCTCTGTGAGCTTCGCTGATGTCGACGAACATCTCTGCCGCACGCGTGTCACACGCTGAACGTCTGTGCGGTTGGATCACAATCACATTCCCATCCCGTGTGGTGATCACAGCTGAAGACTGGGGCAGTCTCAACAGGTTGAGCGGGTTGTCAAGTAATCGGAAGGTTGCAGGTTCGATCACGGTTCCGGACAGAGAATTTTGTTGTTGTGTCCTTGGGCAAGACACTTAACCCACCTTGCCTGCTGGTGGTGGTCGGAGGGACCGGTGGTGCCTGTGCTCGGCAGCCTCGCCTCTGTCAGTGCGCCCCAGGGCAGCTGTGGCTACATTGTAGCTCATCACCATCAGTGTGTGAATGTGTGTGTGTGAATGGGTGAATGATACACTGTAGTGTAAAGCGCTTTGGAGTCCTTACTCTGAGAGGCGCTATACAAATGCAAATGTCTGACGAATTAATCCTGCTCAATGGTCAACTTTCCTCGCGGGGTCACCCATAAAGACAGTGGGAGGGTTAAAAGTTTCTCTGTTTGACACCAAGTTCTATTTTTTTTTCTGTTTTCGGACTTCTTCAGGGGCGTACTCTTAAAGTTTCTGCCTCATGAGTTCTGTCTCAAACCTTCCCTGAAGAAAACGTCTTGAATTTTTAATTTTTTTGGAGTCGATCTGTTGATTGTTTTTACTGAACGGGTCACTGAAAAGTGAAAAACGGGCATTTGTGTTTTTGCTTTTCTAGCTTTAAGGTTTGGTTTTGATCATGTTCTGTTCTTTTAGCAAAATAGCAGTCATGCAAACTCACAGGAGGAAATGTCATAGTCTTCCTCCGCTTATCCGGGTCCGGGTCCGGGTCACGGGGGCAGCATCCCAACAAGGGCGCTCCAGACTGTCCTCTCCCCGGCCACCTCCACCAGCTCCTCCGGCAGGACCCCAAGGCGTTCCCGGACCAGATTGGAGATGTAACCTCTCCAACGTGTCCTGGGTCGACCCGAGGGCCTCCTGCCGGCAGGACATGCTCGAAACACCTCCCCAGGGAGACGTCCAGTAGGCATCCTGACCAGATGCCCAAACCACCTCAACTGACTCCTTTCAATCCGGAGGAGCAGCGGTTCTACTCCGAGTCCCTCCCGAATGTCCGAGCTCCTCACCCTATCTCTAAGGCTGAGCCCGGCCACGCTACGGAGGAAACTCATTTCGGCTTTAAAACAAAAACAAAACATTAATCTAAATATTTAAATTGACACTGTTTGCTGGCACAGATCATTAAAAATGGTTTCTTTGTTTTATGTACATAAATGGATTTAGTGAGTAAATGCATCAACGTGAGGCCAAACGTTAAAGTGTTGATTCTTTGTAATTTAATTGCTGTTTATTCTTCTTTACTGCGTCCTCGCTGTAGAGAGTTTGGGCGATGGAAGGTGAACAACCTCGCTGTGGAGCGGAGAGATTTCCTGGAGTCTCAGCTGCCTTTGACCCCCGAGTTCATTAGGAACATTCGACTCCTGGGGCGCCGACCGACGACCCAGACGATTACCGAGAACCTGATCAGGAAGTACGGAACTCACTTCCTGCTGTCCGCTACACTTGGAGGTAAAGAGTAAAAGCTTTGATTTATCAATGATTATGTTGTTTATGTTTGAAATAAATGAAACCCGCTGTGGAAGACCGGGCCTGACGGTTTCATCAATACCCGTCAGTCCTTTTTATAAACTATTAATAAAAGTGTATTCTGTTAAGGACTTGTTCTCTCGGCCTCACACTCTTAATTGTTCATGTCCAGCTTCACATACATGCCGTCCACAGCGCCGGCGGTGACAGATCCATTTACCATTGATTTCTGGGACAACAGTCTCAGCGTGTCTGACAAATATAGACACAAGCAGCCCTCAGTTTCGCTCCACACCCATCAGTTTAGCAGACAATTGGAGCTGGCAGATTTTATCAGCTGCAGCCACGGACATAATTGGTTCAATTCCACGAGTTTTCTGTGTATGTTTCAAGTTTTTAGAGTCATTTTTGCTAAAGTTATAGAAAAATGAAAGCAGGAGCACAAAGGATTCTTGTTTCTCCGGGATTGTCTGGGCTTTAGTGAAGAAAACAGCTTGCAGTGATAAGAAAGGTCTGAATTTGCTCTTTAAGGTGGTCCGTAGGAAGCAGGCTACACAGTTCAGACAGAGAACCCAAATAAGATCACTGTGTGATTCAGTACTAAAGGAGGCACAGGCATCAGCTATACGTAGAGGACAGGGGTGGACTGGGACCAAAATTTGGCCCTGGCATTTTTACGAGTCGTCGGCCCTCAGTTGGCCCTCCCCGTTGGGAGAGCGGTGGGGGTGGGGGGTGTTGCCACCCGCAGACTCGTCTCTAGGCCGAATGTGAGATCTAACGTGGACTGGGACTGTTAAATTACAAGCAGGGCCAGACCACTGCGACCGGAAGCCCTGACCTTCCAGATCGGCTCATTCTCCACGGGCGGAGATCGGCGGGACATTAGCTACAAGCTAACGCGGTAAAACAACTTCTACGTCAATGCTCTACTGTGTTTTTCTGGCTAAAACACCTGGAAAAACTCTGCTAGCTTCGGGTTACCATGTAGCTAATGTTCTGCAGATCACCAACTGTGGAGTAGTGTCGGCCCGAGCTGGACAAGTAGCCCGCTTGGCTAAGCGGCCCACCGGGACAGTGCCAGAATGCCAGATAGGCCAGTCCACACCCGGGTAGAGGCTGCCACTCACATACTTACTCACCTGCAGTTTGCTCTTCTATATGGATGAACAGATTTGCTCTAATGGCTCTTTGGTTTTCCTGACAACAACAACAACAAATAAATAAAGAGAAACAGCTTTCAGATGCCTGAGAGGTCCGGGCTCGTTGTATAGAGATTTGCTTTTACGGCGCAACACTTGTCAATTACTTCAGTCCCAACTCAGGTCTTTGAAAGGGTTGTTGTGCGAGTGGCTGCATGTGATGCAACCGGGCTGGCTCGGTGAGCCGCTGCAGCCCTGAACTCTGGCTGTCAGCCAGCGCTCGCTGCTACGGAGCGAGGAGGAGGAGGAGTCGGCCTTGGATCGCAGCCAGTGAACTGTCTCTGTGGCTCGGTATGGATTGTCTGTGTTCAGAAACATATGGACTTAATGAAATTAATAAATACATTGCGATATTAGGAGTTTGCCCTTCAGCAGCTAAGGAAGGAAGGCAGCAAGCAGAAAAATGTCTGGGAAGCATTAACACTGCATTATAACGAGAACGATGATGTGCAACGTTGTGAGGAGCTCAGTCTGCAGCGCCGTGGCCCTTAGGCTGATGAGGAGCTGATTGCTATGATCAGTGGCTTCTGATGCAAGCTGGCATGGCTTCTCCTAATTGTGGTCAAGCGTCTTTATCCTTCAGAGGTGCCTGTGTCTGGCTGCACTGGCGCTTATAATCAGCAGAAATTAAGAGCTAATGTGTCTTCTGGAAGAGAGCAGGTGGGGTTTTAAAACGATGGGAGTGTTAAAAAGTGGATTAACTGAACATAGAACATTATCATGACCTTTGTGCAGCCGTGAAAAAAGCCAGAGACAGAAAATGTGTGTGTGAGGAAAATACACTAAACATCTGTTAGGAACGGAGCATTTTAACAGCCTCACATGACAAACGGCCCCCAAAATGGGTATTTTTTCGTCAAATGATTTGTCAAAAGCGTAGAATTCATTTGTACTCATCCGATTTCAGGAGAAGAGGCCTTGACGATATTTGTGGACAAAAGGAAGTTAAGTAAGAAGGCAGAAGTGAGCGATTACTCTGGCAACTCCTCCACGGTGACGCTGGAAGCCCTGCACCAGCTGGCGGCCTCCTACTTCATCGACAGAGAGAGCACGCTGCGCAAGCTGCATCACATCCAGATCGCCTCCACTGCCATCAAGGTAACGCCCACGCACGCCCGCCTCCATCTTGGGCGCACGTTCAAACAGGTTAATCAATCAATCAAATTTTATTTCTAAAGCGCTTTTCAAACAAAGTGTGATTCAAACTGCTTTACAAAATGACCCCAGATTCCCATAACAGGTTAAAAACATTTACAAACATATGCAAGCACACGCACACACAGACTCACACACACACACAAGTAAAAATTTATATTCGGCTGAGTCCAGATGAGCCAAGTATGGTAACGCAAGGAAACGCCATCAGAGGAGCCATCTGCCCCGGCAGCATCAGGTCTTCCACACCAACTCAGGGCGCTCAGTGGAGGGGGAGCATAGACCCCCACCTATAGAGCGTCCAGGAAGCTACAGTCGACCACCGCTCCCGGGGCAGAGGGCCCCCACAGAGGAAACACTGGATTAAAATGAGTAAAAATGTAATAAAAGAGATAATATAAATGACAAAAATTAGAAAATAAGTAATAAATAAAATGATATAGACAGTAAAATAATAATTTAATAATAAAACTGTGCTAAAATATAATTATATAGAACATGCAAAGCAAGTAATAAAATATAATCATGTAAAACAAGAAATAAAACTGTAAAAAATATTTAGATAAAAGCTAACCTAAAAAGATGGGTCTTGAGTCTTGACTGAAAAACATGAACGTTCTCTGCAGCCCTGAGGTCCTCTGGCAGCTCGTTCCAGAGGCGAGGGCCATAACACTGGAAGGATGCCTCGCCGTGAGTTTGTGTCCTGACTTTAGGGATGACCAGGAGACGCCTGCCAGAGGAGCGCAGAGGCCGCGAGGGTTCATCGTTGCACCAGTGCTACGTCGCTGCGTTCCTCATAATGAACTGAAACGTCTAGTAAATATTACTGTTTTACATCGACGTTTGGAAAGTCTTTACTGCTTCGTGCGCCCTTCTTTCTTTTCTTCTCATAGAATATTTATAAAAAAACAACACAGAATATAAAAATTCAGCTTGAAACAATACATTTCCATCATGTTTCATCTCATATGTCCTTTAGAGGGAATAAACACGCAGACAGCGCCACGTTTCCTTCCTGCCCTCCCTGTGTGTTGTCATAAAGCAATATTCTGGATTTAATTGAACGGCATTAATATACATGATTTCATTTCACTGCTACCTGAAGGTGCAAACACAAGACTCCGGAGAATATTGATCGGCTCCAGTATGTTCATCCCAACAAACAGAAAGAATAGTGGCTTAACTCATGGAAACCACTCATATGTGAGTTTCATTTAAAAGTTCGCATTTAGAAATGTTTTAGCATTTTTGAAGCATAACACTGTGATGACACATAATTAAAGTAGCAATAAAAAATAGAAAATGTGGCTTTTTTTTATTTTGCTGCCTGGGCAAGATACGATCTTCATCTGCCCAGAGCACACTGAGTCTGCAGGAAGCTCCATGATGAGCACATATGGTGAGGGGAAGATAAATGAGTCCTGAGAAACACGGCGGGTGACAAGCCACCGCCTCCGGTTGTCACCTTCAGGTGGCCTGGGTTAATAGGGTGATGGAGGGGAGGACGACCCTCCTCTCTCCCTTTTTTTTTTACTCTTGGGTCACAGCGGGAGCTCCTGCGTGGCACCGACCACTGTTGCGGTGGACGAATCGGACTCTTCTGCTTGCATCAAAGCCCCGTGCCTCCCACTGCATTTTGTTCAGAGCAACGAGTGTTGCAGAGGAGGTAGGCGCGCTGGCTGCGCAGCGGCAAATGCCTTTGTCTGTTACATTTTTTGAGAATTCGGGTTCCTTTCTGTAGAGAGGGAGGACGTACGAGTTGTACTTTCATGGTCCAAAGGCAGTCATCTGGCGTGACTGACAGGGGGGAAGTGGGAAGAGCAGAGATTCACCTTCATCGCTGGTGGAAAGTGAGTCAACGGAGCGACAGATTCCTTCACACCGGTCCATCCTTTCCACAGGCACTGACCCTCACGCTGGCTGAACAGATTGCACCTCTCTGCATAAATTTGAAAACTAACAAGTAGAGGATTGAGTGAGTGAGGGGCTGGTGAGGCTTCTCGCCGCCTCACGGCTCCTGTTCGGGGTAAATGAAAGTGTAATGATTTAAATTACATGTTATTTAATAATCCATAAGGCGTAGGATTCCATAGGAAATATGAAATCAACCTTATGGATCTGTGAGGTTATTTAAACCGGAAGATTGGAACTTTTTATTGCAGGGATTAGATAACAGCTTCGTATTCACTCAGAGACAACAGAAGAGAGAGAGTCGAGTTTAAAAGTTAAGAATTTATTACTAAACTAATTAAACTAGACTGACTTTAAACACTAAATGTATGGTGTAACTAAGGTGGATGAGATGGAGAATGGTGTGATGTGGAATGTTGCTCAGAACCAGCAAATCCGAAGAAGCGATTATTTCTGATGGGAAGTGAAGGTGATGTCTTCGCGTTAAGCTTTGGTTAGGAGATTCATAAACACATTCGACGCCATTTGCCGGTCTACATACCCTGAGCGGAAGTCCCCGTCTAGATCAGGAGGTGTAAAGGTCCAGCTTGACCTTATGGAGCCGGAGCATGTAGAAGCAGCCACAGCAGCCGACCACCCGTCTTGAGATACTTCCGGGTCACGACAGTTTGTTGGCATCTGGTGAGACCCACCTGGGTCTTGATGGTTCAGCTTTTATTCTGAAAGGAACCGTTGCAGCAGCTGGAACAGCAACAGGTTTTATCCAGCTTGTCGTTGGTTCTTTTGGCTGAAGAGGAAAGTTACGGATTGGCCACTCCGACAACTTCTCTAGAACGCTTTGAACTGGCGTTAAAGATGACGTGGGCATAGTTTTATACTTCGGATGTTTTGGTTGATGGTCGAATGAAAAGATGACAGATTTACCAAGCACCACCAAAACCACGCCTCCGTCAGATCTGGCAGATTCTGATTGGATCAGTAAAAGCAATGTGTCATGTCTTAACGCTACGTGAGATCAGTCCTGGTGGAAACATTTAAAGTCATATTACTTATTATATTCTATAGATTTATAATAAAGTAATGAATATTTTCATTTCACAGATTGGTCACATCTTATTATTGACTAACACTTTTTTTGATTAGCTTTATTAAAATAGAGTTCTTCGAGTAATTAAAAGAAAAGAGTTCATTCTTCATTCTTCTGTTGAGCTGGAAAGGAGGCAGTTTAGAAGCAAATGCATGAGACCTTGAGACCATATCTCATGCAGACTAGTCCTGTGTCAGAGGAGGAGGAAAACAGTCATTTCATTCCGTTACAAAAGCTATTATTGTGGTGCACCGTGGAAATCTGGACTTTCTTTAGGAAGGGATGCGACGGGACAACTTATAGAAATTGTTGACTGAATTTATCTTGATCTCCATCTCTAAACCCGACAATAAACTGGCAGAATAAAATCCGAGACCCCTGCTGTTCTCTCATCCATGGGGATGATCGCTGGATTAATTGTGCTCTTTTAATGTCAAACACATTTTGAGTACCCATCTCCCACTATTGATTGTTGTCTGGACTCACTGATCACTAATCCACTATGATCTCATTAAAATATCACCGAACACAGAGACGTAAGCCCACAAATGCAATCCAAACGCAAAACTCCATCCTCATTAATCCAGATAGGAGCTAACACTGATTTAATCCCGTTTGCATTTGCTTGATTATTTTAATATGTCACACATCTTTGCTCTCGCCTCGGCGGACTTGCTGCTTCTAGCACTAACCTCTTACACGCACCTTGTGAAGTAGAATACGTTACAGGAAAAGCAAAAGTGTCTCTGGCGTTTACAAAGGGTCCAGTTTTAATGACCTTCATGGAGTTCGGAGGTGCTTTTGATGGGTAAACAATCCAGCCTCGTCAATCACAGCAGCTGGTTTTGTCGTTAGTTCAGAAACCGACCACGCAGATGTGTAACTTACAAAACTGAGCTAAAATATGAACATATTTCCTAAACTGTTGGTGATTATAAGAAACTAGAATAAAAAAAAAAAAAAAGAAAACTTCTTCCTTAATGGGTTCATCTTGTGAGTCGCATTCTAAACTGCTTGTATGTCTGAGTAGGTTTATAAAAAGCATTTTCCTAATCAGCCGTTGTTGTTTTGTACTAATTAAAACATCAGTTTAACATCAGTTTGGTCCTTTGTAGTGTTGCTCAGGTAAAGCAGTAAATATAGTTGAGATGAAGCCAATTGATCATCTCAACAAGCTGATTTGCAAATCGTGGGGGCAGCAGTAGCTCAGGTGGTAGAGCGGGTTGCCTCACGATCGCAGGGTCATGGGTTGGATTCCAGCTTCCGCCGGGGGTATTCTGCTGTTGTGTCCTTGGGCAAGACACTTCACCCAACTTGCCTGTGTTGGTGGTGGTCTGTCAGACCGTCCCAGGGCGGCTGTGGCTACAAAGTAGCTTACCATCACTGGCAGTGTGTGAATGTGAGAGTGTGTGAAAGTGTCTTTGAGTGTCGTAAACAAGCGCTATATAAGTTCAATGATTATTATTATTATTATAAATCAACTCGTCTACGGTGGTCTAACGATCGCTTTTCACTCTTAGAAAAAAAACTGGTTTTCTGACGTGGTCTGGATCACTTTAGCCCTCCGGAGGCAGGCATTGCAGATGAGCAACGTTAAAACCTACCTACCTGGTGACTCCACATACGTATCTCATGAGCATTTTTTAACCCTCCCACTGTCGTAATGTATGTGACCCCGTGAGGAAAGTTGACCACTGAGCAGGGTTGATGGTTTATCCCTTGGGTCCACGTGGCAGGGCTGAGGAGTGAGCACCACCTAACCCCTGCCACGTGGACCTCAAGGGATAAACCATCAATCCTGGTCAGTGATCAACTTTCCTCGCGGGGTCACCAGTTCTTAATTTGTAAACCAAACGTTCCTGGAACGCAAATACAGCTGTCAATCAAACCAAAGTCCAGTAAAGGCAAAACAGGTGTCGAAACACGCAGGGGGGGGGGGGGGTTG